TTTTTTTTTTTTTTCAAAAATAAACTTTTATTCATAAAATATAAAAATGATTGCCGGTTCAAAAATAATAAAATTGTAAAGTGGCAAATACACTTAACAGCACTGTACTGACCATCAGAAAATAACAGGCATATTATAAGTGTACGAATACGATATCAAACTAAGCAATTATTTGCACAACAAATTTTGGCCTATTTGTAGCTTCAATAAACCAGTGGCAAGAAGGAGAGAAGAGAAGAAAAAACAAGAAAAAACAGACGTCAGTCATATAGCAAGTGATTTGTAAAGGATGGTTTAAGTTGAAGACTTCAGAAAAGACTTGATTTATAGCATCAACTAGCACAACTACTTCAGCAAGAAAATGTTCTCCAAAAAAAATTTAATTACTACAATTAATCTGGTTCTTATTTCATTTTACGCTAAAACAAAGCAAAATAAAAGTAAAAAAATTATAATTTAAAACAAAAAAAAAGAACCAATTTTGTGATAATCTCTTCTAACAGTATGTTTATCAAAGGAAAAAAAAGAAATGGCTTTTACTGTTTGTAATATACATTTATAATGCAGCCAAATCAAAGGAAAACAAAATTTTGTTTAGCAAAAATTTAAACCTTCAATTAGCAGTATCACTGTGCGACACAAAATAAATTTGCTAAAATTTTTGTGATTATTAATAGCAAAGAAAACCAATAAAACAATTCACTTTGGGCTTTTAATTCTATCAGTAGCAACTGTACTGTACTGTACAAAAAGTTTATATATATACAACAAAAGATTAAAGTCAAACACTTTCTATTTCTGTTTCTAAGTATTTTATATCTTCTCTGAAACAGTTACAAAATGTTATTTTCAAACATATTCAGTCATACTTTATGCAAAAAAAAAAAAACAAAGTTTCTACAACTAAACTACAGCATTTTTCTCACCCCAATTTTCTGTAGAGTCTTATCAAACTTTGACTTCCTTAAATACGGTAAAAAAATTTAGTGCTGAATCAACAGTTACTTTTTTTTTATTTCTTATTAACTTTCTTTTTTATTAAATATTAAAAAAAAAAAGTGTGATCAATTACTGACTGTCACCGTTACGATTATTATTGCTTATTCGGGTATTTGAAGAGTAGAAAAATGCTTATCAAAATTTTGCATTTAATCATTGTCATTTTTATTGTCAAATTTAGGTGATATTATTCAAAAAAAAAAAACAAAAAAGTGGCAAAAAGAAGTGGAAGGAAGTGGACAGTGGAGAAAGATAATAAGTAACTTATTTATAAAACTAAAAATAGTCAAGCTTTTTTTCCTTTTTGAAGCAAAATACGGAACTGGAAACAGATATTTGTTTCGCAAATTTTTAACAACAAAAATTGAATATAACATCAACATTAAAGCTCATATAAATAACCACATTCAAAGTCATATAAAAGCAGAGCAATATATATATAATACTGAGGTTTGCATGAGAAAAACTTGTTCAACCCAGCACAATAATCTAGTTCAAACAACAACAAAAAAAACGACACTTTCAAAACTATATTTTCTATTGCTATAAAGTCATAAAAGTTAACAATTAAATTGTCGTATAAAATTTAAAGTTAAAAAAAGGTCGTCGTATCTTCAGTAATATTCCAGTATACTATGAAAAAAAAAAAAACAAATAATTGTAGTTTAGCTATAAAAATTGATGAATACTTGGTTATTTTTCAACTATTTTTATACAATCAACAACAGCGCTGATACACGTTTATACAGGAATCAAAAGTTGAACACCTATAAAAGACAACTATAAAAATAAATAATAGAAGAAATTTTACAAAACAATATCAAAGATTACTGTTTTAATGCAATTTTAGAAGAAGAAAAAATATTTAGATAAAAGTCAATGCAACTGCTACCATTTTTTTACTGATTACTTTTATATAGTGTTATTAGTAAATCTTTGTTTCTTCTGATCATTTACCAACAAAAAAAGAAGGGTAAATGCTCTAAAAAGATCAGTTCTAATTTATAAACCAAAAAAAAAAAAAAAAAACCATTTATAAAAATTGTTGCCCGAATAAACGTTTGCAAAACTCGATAGTTGATCAGAACGTAAAATACAGGTCAGTGGAAGGAAAAAAGGTTGTTGTCTGTAAACTATATACAAAGACAAAGTGGTTTTTCAGTTTGCCGTCCTTAATAAAAACCATTGTACTACACTACTGCTGCTGCTGCTGCTGCTGCTGTCTTCAACAGCAGGCTAAACTTAAAAAAAAAAAAAAGCAGCTAGTAAGGTGTAATTAAACGCACTTTTAAAGTACTCACTAAACAAAGTTCATTCTTAAGCTTGCTAAAAGTTTTGCTGCAGTAAACGATTAAGTGTCAAAGTCGAAGAAATAAAAAAAAATGAGGTTTTGCTGATAAGCAAAAAAAAAAAGTCAATTGATACATTATTACAGCTGTACCTCAAATTGCCTAAACCTAAACCCAAAGTTCTTGTAGAACCTTTGTTCGTAATGCAATCGCATCTGCTAATGGCCATACTAAACGATCTCTAAAGAACTGAACACCAGTAAGCATTTCAATGTCACGAATTCGAGCAGCATTTTGGAATAAATATTCGTCGGAATCCTGTAAAGAAATAATGCAAAATAAAAGAATAAAAATATATAGCAAAAATGAAATTTTGC